TTCAAAGTCATTTTACCGTTTTCATCATTCTAAAGTCATGCTTCATAAGATTTACCCCTCTGTGTCTCCAATATGTGATACATGTAACTCAAATGTCCATGGATTGGGTTGTGGGTTTTCACTCTTGTTTGTATTGTGATGTGATAAAAATGTCAATAAAAATAATAATAGAAAAAATAACAGATTGTTCAAGTGAACTGTGAGTTACTGAAGTAATTACTAAGATACATTTGAAAGAAGTAAGAAGGTTCCTCCTAGGCCAGCACGATATGGTGAAAATCTGAGATGTGCTTCTTTATTGTTCAATACTGTGGAGACGATATGAGGTATGATAGATAAACAAATATTAAAGCATATATATTCCCTATTACTTACAATCTCTATCTATTTGCTGTTCAACATAATCTACAAAGTACCTGCGATTGCAACATGTACCTAGTGAATCTAAGATAACTCCACATAGCAGGGTTTTTTATACCACTAACTCGACACTATTTAATCTGCTGACGGCTGGCGAGTGCTTCTTCTTACTGTCAAAATGGTCAGAAATCCTGATCATTATTCCAGAGGCTCTGGGTGTGTGTATGGAAATATTTTGTTTATGCAATGCGATACAAGTCAATCTTTTGTAATATGTTTAATGTTCATATTGCCATAAAAAATTAAATGTTTTGAACCCCAGCTTCTACCACACCGATGCTTTTTGTTTTTCTTGATGCGCTGTGATACTAAATTTAAATAAACTAAACTAAATAACAGCTCGACAGGCATCAGTGAAGATCTCGTTTTCTTCTTAGTATGACTTTGAATCATTAAAACAGACTTATCAATAATTCTACAGCACCTGCTTGAGTAAAGGCACACTTATTTCAGGATGTGAGTCATTATCATAAGTCTAAATATGAGGCAATGAATCTTCAAAACCTATCTTTGACCAGGTAACAGAGGATAATACAGTAGGTCTGGTTTGAAAGCGGCACAGGACATCAGAGAGGGGTGTGTAGTTATGTGCATTGCATAACCTCACGTGGGGAATCGCAGTTAAAGGATGGAGCACATTTGAGCCTGATGGCTTGTTTATTTTCCAGCAATCTGCGCTTTACGGTGGGGTTGTGAGTGAGCAGAGATAAATCACTTAATGGTTTCCCTGGAATGGGAAGTTCACAGGGAGGCTAGATTAAAAACTGATAAATTAAATAGTTGTTTGGCCCAGCTGTTTCTTCTCTGCTTTGTTGCTTCAGTATTCAAACTTTCTGTACAAGCCAACACATTTACTTCCAGGACCAACAAAAGGGTTGTTTGATGAAACTTTTACAAATAAGACTAACAGTGATTTGTTTTTACACCATGGAAAATAAGAATCTGACGAATGTTTCCTGTATGCAAATCAACGACAGAGCGAAACAGAGATTCAAACATAGCAAGCACCTTCTCTGTCTGCGTCCTCATCCCAAACTAATATAGCTGGAGACGCTAACTACTTATAAGCTACCCAGAAAGGATTATGCTCCTGCTAGTCTGTCACCGTGGCTGTACGATTATTTTCATTGTCTCTGCACCTCACTATCCTCTTCTCACAGCAACACTAGCAACAAAGCTAACCAGATTTATTAAAAAGCCTACATTATAGTCATTGTCACCTTTCAAATTGTCAGTCAGTGAAACCTATAAAGTAGCTTTGCATGATTTGCAGCTAATTTTTTTAATCTTATATCTGCAACTGTAAAAGCCTTTATTTTAGCCTCTGCCGCAAATGGTTTGTTTCAGCTGCTGTCTCTTTAAGAGAGAGCTGCTGTACATTTGCTTGTGATTTGCCAGCTGTATGGAAACCTTCTGGGAGCAGAACGCCCCTGGGCTGAACTTGCATGCTCGCAGAACAGCTAATTAAAACGTCTCCACCAGCCTATGTAGAGAGACCTGAAGCCATCTCGAGAAAATCTGGATTTCATATCAGGGAACTACCACGTGATTTGCATTTGCAGAACAAGCCGTTTAGCACACTCCGCAAACCTTCCGAGGGTTACTCCAACATGCAATAACCTGACGAGCTAAAACACGTTTAGTACGGGCATCCAGCATTGTAACACTATGAGTTTTAAAATGAGCATCAGCATAATAGGTCAACTCTAGCTAGCTGCCAGTTAGATTAGTTCTCCTATAAAAATAAAAAAACATTAAGTTCTGATGACCACACTCCTTATCTGGCCTTAATGCTCCAACAGAGAAGCTAACATTTAGACCGAGCAACCCAGATCATAAGCTAGCTTTCTGCATGTTTATGCACATATTTGTTTGTCTAAGTTGACAAAACAGATTACTTTAACAAAATGTCTAAAAAGTGAATTCTGTGCACTCAAGGTTAGAGGAAAAATGTTGGCAAAAGCAGCAAGTTGACAGCTGCGAGACCTCAGGGAGACCCCGCTGTGAAATGTGAGATTCTGGTTCAGAATCTGCATTTACTGTTGTTGAACAGTCGTGACAACGAGCAATTCTCATGCTTTCCATCAAAGCGGATGGATTTCAGCTGACTGGAGAAAATGTGATCCTTTTGGCTAAACAGTGAAGAACTTTGGACATTATAATGGTTCTAATATTTAAAGTTTCACCATTATACAAACATTTCTCAGGGTTGGAGCTACTCCAGGGAACATCAGAAATTGTTTGAATGGCAGGAGTTAGACTAACACACTTTGTTTAAAGTTTTAAGACTTAAATCCAATTTAACAAGGAGCTGAAAAAGATCTGTGACCATCATGAATGAACGTATGAATGAAACAGTTTGACCACACAGCCTACTATACAGTTCAGAGGACCTTCACTATCAGATAAATACAAAGACCACAATCTGAAGTATGAAAGTATAATGAGTCAGCAGGAGTAGATTCATTTGAGCATGGCTGCAGAGTTTTTGATTTCTCTCAACATTTGGAAGTAATTTCCCAGAGGGTCTGGGAAAACCCTTGGTACGCTGAGATCCAAGACAAACAGAGATGTGTCACTGCCAGTGATTAACTACTCTGCTCATTCATAAAGTTCTTGGCCTATAATGAAGGAACTCTGGCCTGAAGTAATTTGGTGAGAGGCCACAGATTGACACCACACTCACTGTGGGAGCCACTTAATGGAACAGAACCTGCAAGCCAAACAGAGTATAAGACTTGGATAGTTTCCAAGGGGAAAGGAAGTACATGTATGTACTGTGTAAGGGTTGACAGTAAAGGACTTGAACAATGAAGTAACCTGATACAGTTACATACACAGTCTGTAGGGGTCAGAAGTGGAGTGACGATGCACAGCACTTGTCAGAGCAACAAGACACAATGAAAAAAGGTTAAAAGAGGTTGTTTCTTCCCTTACAGGATGAGCCCCTTTCTCACATGCAGTGCAATCAAGAGCTGCTTGTGAAAACGCGTGACTCTATCCAGTCTTTGTGTTGCGCTGTCCTATGTCTTTTTACTTACTGTGTTTTGGTCCACTGCTGTAAATCTAATTTCCGTTCCAGGGACAATAAAGGTCTGAACTGAACTGAACTGTCTTTTTCTCACCCCGTGGACAAATTTCTGCCACAAGTGGGTGTGAGCCCATGTCTGAACGCAGCAAGTAATATTCAGGGAAAACATGACAATATTAAAATGCTTCTTTTACTTGATTAGATATACTGTAGTGCAATGATAATATCTTTTTTTAATAATCCACTCAAATTATCTTTTTATAACGTTTAGAAAATTGTGTTAGGATTAAATAGCCAAAGTGAAAGCCTATCTCCCTCCTAATGATTTAGAGAGGGTGATCAATGCATTTAAAACATCTTGAGGCACTTGAGGCTGGCTGTAGAAGCACTGGAAGTCACATGCACAACCCTTCAAAAAAACAAATTCTTCATCAGAAATTAAAATGTTTAAAGCCCGGTACAAAAAACAAAATGGTCTGATTATCTAATGTCTCTGGCAGCACACATTGTACAGGGGGTGAATTTGATGATCACCCCCTTGATTTAATGAAGGAAAAGCATTATTCACAATAAATCCCATAGCTGACCTGATTGACAGTGTAGCTGTTTGTCAGGAGGCTTAAGGCCTGCCCTTGTTTTTCTTTCTTTTTTTTACAGTCTATGGTTTGGAACAGGTGGTCATTTAACACATGCCTCCTGACAGGCAAGAAAAGAAGGGACCACATTAACCTTGTGCTGCTTTCCCTCCACTGGCTTCCTGTCTGCCACATGGTTGATTTTAAAATATTTTTGTTGACTTTTCTCAACTTTTTGTTGGCCCCTAATGGATTTGCACCGCCTTACTTAAATTAATTGCTCCATGTTCATACTCCAGCCAGAGCATACAGCTGCCCCAAACCTGTGGAACAGCTTACCATTAAAGATACCCTTACTCTTGAATGTTTCAAATCCCTGTTGAAGATCAATTTCATGAGTTTGGCTCTCCTTTCGAAAAATAATTGTTTTATCCCAACAGAGATAAATATTGTTTAATGATATTTCTATCCAAATCGAATTCACTATTACATTTAATATATTTTTATGATGTATTCTAGTTTCATCTTTTATCTTTTACTCTGTTAAGCCATTTAGTCAACCTTGGTTGTTTTAAAATGTAGAACTAACAGTGTTCAGTGGAGCAAATCAAAGAGGTATTTAAAAAAAAAGCTACTGTATTGAGAAAATCTATAGTATATATATCTACTGAGAGGCATTCCTGTCCAAGAATTGCATCTATCAAACTTTTCAAGTCAAGTCAACAAGTCAACAAACATGACAGTGAAAAATGAGGGGGAAAGTGAAGTCATTAAGAATTCCTCAGTGTCTCTCTTTCATATGTGTTTTGCTTGGTCCCCACTGACGTCCACAAAGGAAACCCATCCCCATGAGCAAAGTGCATGAGGGGGGTGTCCACAACCCGTGCCTCAGTTTTCTGCCCTGTCATTGGTCACCACGAAAGCTACATTAGTTTAAAACCAGACACAACCTTTCTCTCTCCTTTCACATAGCACAACCCCTAAAAGGGACTGAAATAGATCAACCGACAGGCAGAGTTTGCGTGTGTGAGTCAGACTAACTGATAAACAGAGTTGGTCTCAGGATGCCTGCGTACGCCACCAACATGAGGTTGAAGTTCCCTATTGTGGCCTTGACTTTGGAGATTATCACCATCATTCTGTTTGCAGTGTTTGTGGTCTATGATGATGGAATACATCATGGGCATGGTGGTGAAGACTTAAATGCGACCGGCCATGAATTGCCACCAATGGAGCTCTACCCCAGTAAGTCTACATGGGGATGCTTGCTGAGGGATGCTCTGATACTTGATGCATTAATGTTTGGTCAATGCTACTTTTACAACTAGTTTTTTAAGAGGTTAAAACAATGGATTATAAAGCTATTCAGTCAATAATTGCACATAAGTGTTTGGGAATGCTCTGAAATTAAGGTTTTTTACCCCCCTAAAAATGAATATATCCACAGATCATTCATGTTTTTTGAGTTTGGTTTTTCAGTCTTCAACTTTGAAGTGCTGACTGACCTGAAAAGGGTTGTCTTTCTTTATTGGAAAAATGTGAATTCTGTTTTCAGGCTGTAATTTGTCAATTAGCTTCAAACTGAAATAGAGGCTGTTCCCAGAGTAGGTCTGCTGAATGCAATAAGGGAAGTCATGGGGCTGCAGCTGAGGAGTCCAGACGATCCTGCAGGGGAAAGTGTCATGTCTCTCACAGTGTAGGTCACATGTGATTTGAATTAATGTCTCAAACACAGAGCTTATATAGAACAAAAACAGATGGTAGACAAGGCAGAAACATGCTTTTGATGTTTGTGTTGCTTTTAAAGTATCAATTTCAAGGTACTTTTATTAAACTACGGTAATGAGCAAAAAGTGGCTTCTACAGCTAATGTTTTTTTGAATGTTTATCTGCATTATCACAGCTGCAGCTGTAAACTGCTGTTTTGCTGTACGCCTGGCTGCTCATGATAGGGTGGGGCAGGGGTGACTTACAGATATTAGCCCATGCGTAACATTAAGGGTGTGCATACATTCTACATCCGATTTGATGTTTCTGTATAACAATGGTCTTTTAAAAAATGTCTATTTTTTTCCATTCTACTTTATTTTAAATCATGCTAGGCAAAAAGTAAAAATGTAAAAATCTGACATGTTGAGACAAAGAAATTATCATATGAGTCTAATATTGTTTCACACAAGAGGATATACATCTAAATCTGCAAATGCTTTAAAATATTACATTTCTTTGTGCTCAACTAAAAAAAACTCTACTAAAGTGAAGTCATGTAGTCAGTAGAATGGGACTGTATCACATGAAGGCATGCACATGCACAGAGATATGCTATCCAACCCATACCAGACATCTGTGATTATGTCTTCAAAAAAAGGCAAATAGGCAGAGAATTGTGGGTGAGAGCAAGTGAGAGCAATTAAAAGCTAACAAGGCTTTTTCATTATGAAACAAATCTGAACTTGTAATTTAAATGACAGAAACAAATCTTGGTTATGTGGTTTGAAACAAATTTAAGAACCTTGTAAAGAGTAGATTGCAGAATGAAGACATCAAAGGAAAGGAGATCAATTGCTCCAGTGTTTAAGAAATGTAATAATCATTAGTCCTCCTGCTCTGATGTATCCTTGCTCAACAGACTGTGCTTAGGTAGTCACTCTGGGTATATCCTCCCTCATATCTGCTCACCCAATTCTTTGCAAAACTACAGAGCATTACCTAACATCTGGGCGAGGTGCCAGTCATTCTGGCTGTTTTCCAACTTTACCACCCCCACTGTCTTTAATATACTATACTTAAAAAACCCCACCAAAAGTAAAAGAAGCCTTAGTCACCCAGATGTGAATGTGAGTGAGGGTCAATGTTCAAGCAGACTTGCAAACAGGTTTTCTTCAAAACAGCTCCATGCATGTGAGCTAAATCAAATATTTACACCCCAACTCGCTTCTACTGATATGTGTGCACTGTTTGAAAAGCTGACCACACGTTACGCAGTTTTAGACAAGGACGAGTCATGATTTTCAAGCTGACCACAAATCTAAACTTCAACATCGTTTTCTTCATAGCTGGTTTGGTTTCTTAAATCCAAAACCTGGTGAGCTTTGTGTGAAAACAGACACAATGCCAGGTTAGGGAGATGAGATGTGTCTTCAATCATCCCTGATTACAGACTGACGTAGAACAAAAGGAGATAATAATGACACTTTGTTCTCTGTTGTTCTAGAGATCTTTTCTTTTGATCTAAGAATATTAAGTACACATTCGATAAATCCCTTTGTACTAACATTTATTCCATTTAAAAAAACAGAGCTTGAAACAGAGTAGACAGGCAACAGCTCTGAAAGTCCAAATGAGCAGCTCAATTTTTAGCCCGTTGATGTATGATTCAAGCAGCCCACATGTGTTCAGTGAGCTGTTTCTGTTAGAAACTCCCAATAACACTAAACAGTGCACTCTTTAATTTAGCCACACAAAAGTAGCTGTTGATTTTTCATGCCAACCTTTTTACTGAATTTGTGTTTAAAATACGCTGATGTACTCTACATGTAAAATCTTGTTTGTGAAAACAAGTGTGGAGGATTTTTTGTTCTGCCATTTTTAAGTTGTCATTCTGTGCTGCATTTAAAACCAGTGCTTGTTTTTCTCAGTTCAAATCATCCTTGAAGTAGACAAACAGAAAATATCACCATGTAGCAGGTGTGCTTGTTTTCCTCATATCTGCTGTGTACATACATTAATTAACTATTAAAATAAGAGGAGCAGAGAGATGGGGGCAAAAGGTAATTTGAAAAAATGACTGCCTTTTATATTTTGAAGGCCATGACCAATTATTTAATTGTCATGAATAGGTTGTTTATCAAATTTAGGGAAATTGTTTTGTGAAATTGGGTATAATTCGGAAGATCTGTTGCTTTTCTGCACTTTGATAAACATAGTGATGCAGCCAGCAGCTGGTAGGCTTAACTCAGCACAAAGACTGGAAGCAGAGGGTAATATATAGCAAAGCTCAGTCTGCAGCTATTTACCAGCATTTAAAAAAAAGCTCATTACCTTGTGTTATGTCATTGTTTAATCAGAACAAAAACAAAAGTGTGAAAGTAGGTAATAGGGTTATATCAGAGCAGGGGACAACTGACTATTTCTTGGCTTAGTGTAACTTCATGAAGTCATTCTAGTTACCTGGCAACATCATGTCCTCTAAAGGAATTAACAAATTCAAATGCAAAAAGAAACGGTTCTGAAGAATAGCAGTAGATGCCTCCCTATTACAGCTAAGAGTAGGCGTGTCTTGTTTAGACAATAGTGGCTTCGTTCATGCTCATTACGGACTGAGGAAATGGAACACATTGTTTCATAACCTGCGCACACGTCCACCTTGATGCCTTTTCCACATGAGGGTCTCATCATATCAGGCTTTACAGCTTTTGGGAAACAGGAGCCACACTTCCTGTCTCATCAAGACTTTGGAAGGAGCACCAAGTTCAATGCAAATCTAACAAAACAAATGGCCTGGCCTAAGAGTTTTCTGTGTTCTTACATTCTTTAAATGTATTAAAATCACCATGTATACTTAAACATCAAATTATTAAAAATCATTTCTGCTGTCTTTGTCAGTGAAGACTAATAGTAGAGGATGTTATGTCCAAATGTCCTCTCCTGAGATTTGTTAAGTTTAAACGTATTAAGATCATATGAAGCTAATAGAAATAGCACAAGGCTACAAAATCCACATAAACATCAGGGATGTTTTTCCACAGAATACTTTTCATGGTGTGTTTTAATATCCTGTGCAGCTAACATGTCACGGCAGATAAAAACAGCCAATGTGAAATTAAATTACTGCTGTGAAGCCAAGTATCTTTAAATCAGATAAACTACTAAGTCAAAAGAAGATAATGAATAATAGAAGGCAGTGTGTTAAAAGATGGTTTCATTTGACTTAATTTCATGCCCCTGGTTAGCTGAGGCTAAAGTAGGACACACAAAACAAAGCAGGGCCTTGTCTTCAGCAGCAGAACTGACCTCTCTCCTCATTCCTCCAGTGTTTCAGGATGTCCATGTCATGATCTTCATCGGCTTCGGCTTCCTGATGACCTTCCTGAAGCGATACGGGTTCAGCAGCGTGGGGGTCAACTTGCTCCTGGCTGCCTTCGGCCTGCAGTGGGGCCTCCTCATGCAGGGCTTCTGGCATATGGAGGATGGCAAGATCAAAGTCAGCATCTTCAAGTATGAGTGCCTTTTATTTATTTATTTTCCTAATTATGTCATTATGTTTGTTTTCCTTACGTCTCGTATTCTTCTCCATCCTGCAGAATTATAAACGCAGACTTCAGCACGGCTACAGTCCTGATCTCCTTCGGGGCCGTTCTGGGTAAAACCAGCCCTGTGCAGCTCCTCATCATGACCGTCCTGGAGATCACCATCTTCTCCATTAATGAACACCTGGTGGCAAATGTCCTTGGAGTGAGTACGCCATGAATCAAAATGCTAAATGTTGATGTATAAGACTGGCAGGACTGTGCTCTTACAGACCTGTTGTACCTTCTCCCTTTCAGGCTAATGATGTAGGAGCGTCCATGATCATCCACGCCTATGGAGCCTACTTTGGCCTGGCAGTGGCAAGAGTACTTTACAGACCAGGTCTAAGAAACGGACATGAGAATGACGGATCTGTGTATCACTCTGATCTGTTTGCCATGATTGGTAAGCACCAGTTTTTTAATCTTTTGCAAGTTTGTATCTTGAGAGTTTTATCATTTGGATGATGGTAGAAATTCTGCATTCTTGTCTCTCTCTCTCCAAAAGGAACCGTCTTCCTGTGGATGTTCTGGCCCAGCTTTAACTCGGCCATTGCTGATCCTGGCTACACTCAGCTCACAGCAGTGGTTAACACATACCTCTCCCTGGCCACCTGTGTGCTGTCAGCCTACGCCATCTCCAGCCTCGTGGAGCACAGAGGAAAACTGGACATGGTCGTAAAACTTTCCATTAGTATCCCAATAAAATAATTAGGAATAAAGAATTTTAAGAGATAAAAAATTAATCTGACACTTACTTAGTTATCTCTTTATACCACAGGTGCATATACAGAATGCCACTCTGGCTGGCGGCGTTGCCGTGGGAACATGTGCTGACATGGACATTGGGCCATTTGGGGCAATGCTGATTGGATTAGTGGCGGGCATCATCTCTACCCTGGGCTTCAAGTACCTCTCTGTGAGTTTGTGGTCTCAAGTGTATAGCACAGAAAGGAATCCTTAGAGATTTAAAAGGACGTTTTTTTGAAAGGTTTACTCCGTTCATTTTGTGAATGATAAGTCAATTAAGAATAAGTAAGGTCATCAATCCTTTTAGTAACAGAAGTTACTAAATTTGAAGTATTTTTCTTTATCCATTTTAGGGATAAACAGCTGTTTCAGCTTCTGAAATGTGAATAGTTTCTGGGATTCTTATTCTCATGTAACAGAAATTTGTCAGAACTTGAGCACTGAAAAGCTTTCACGGGCCTCTTATGATCATTTTAAGACTACGCGACTAATAAAGATATACAATGCACAAAAAATGATGATTACTGGCAAAATGCTACTCATTTTTATCATTGCATACCTGAAATCCTGCATATTTTGTCAATATGAAGACTTTCATATGCATAGTTCACCTTTTAAAAAGACACTGTGGATGTTCCATTTCTCCTGTGCAGCCCATCCTGGCATCAAACCTTGGCATCCAGGATACCTGTGGTGTCCACAATCTGCACGGCATGCCAGGCATCCTGGGCGGGTTGGCTGGTATTGTGGCTGTGGCTTTGGGAAAGAAAAAGTAAGGGCCATTTTATTTAACACAAATATTACATGAACATATTAAAACACATATGGAAACATATCTGTGGCTTTAAAGTAATTTAGGGGTTTCGGTCATTTGTCAGCTCTTACATTACTCTCTCCTCCTCCCTCCCCTCTTCATCTCCCTCTTCAGAGGTGAAGCTACCATGCAAGCTGCTGCTCTGGCGTCATCTCTTGGGTTTGCTTTGGCCGGTGGTGCTGTAACAGGTGAGAGGAGATGAAGAATCACACCACACGTGACGAATAAATAGTTACATTTCTGAGCACAATGTTGGTACATGAAAGAAGTCCAGGGTATGTTTTGATTCAGCAGAAAGGCATAATCTGATCGATGAAAACTTTCATTTCCTTCTTCAAGGTTTAATAATGAAATTGCCGTTCTGGGGACAACCACCAGACCAGAACTGCTTCGACGACTCTATTTACTGGGAGGTAAGAAATCTCTACTTACCTGTTTCTGACTGTTGTGCAACACAGGTTATTGAATTAGTGGTTTTGGGATCCTATTATTTGATTTCTATGTAAATAGAAATTGATTGATTCACGAGGTTCACTTTATCTACTGTTAAACCCCACACATGTTTTACAGGGCAATTGTTTTTATTGTTTGACGTCCACATTACGCACAGACGTCTCATTAAGTTCTCTTTCATTACACTGCAAACAAATAAGTTGGTCTGCATATTTTTCAGGTTCCTGAGGAGGAGGAGGAGCATGAGGAGAGCTTGACTCATGCTGATCACTCAAAGAACAAAGCAGAAGTTTAATTAGCTGCCAACTGTCTACTGAGCGAAAACATTTAGAATCATTAATCAACTACACCAAAAAAAAACATTAATTGGATATACTGACAACAAAAACGGACAGTTTTGTCCATTTCAAAAATGTTTCCAAATCAAAGATATAAACACAGCGTATATGACATCTTGATAGTTAACTTTTCTTCTCATGAAGAACAAGCACCAAAACATACATTGAATCGTCAGAATTTCTAAAATGAATATTGGTTTATCCCATGTACACAAAGAAAGAAATCTTACTAAGAATTTGAATTTGAAAGGAGAACAGTCACATTCAGGGATTTTTTTTTTACACTGAAAGTTGTGATCGATGTTTTCATTAATGAGCCACTGTAGAAAACAGGGTGGGTCAATTCTTAGTTTCACTGCTGCCTCATACACAACTACTTCCATAAGCTTGTTTTCTTTATTTCATTTTTTATATTATAAATAAGCATTACAGCATGTTTTAAGATATTAGTATCGTGTGTATTTCTCTGTATACATTCTTTAATATTTCATACGCGTTTCTGCTGAAGCTTGGGTCAAAGAAAGGCCTTAAACCTGCCTTGATATGTAGCTTCACGTCGCCTCACTAGAGCCCACTCCTTCTGAAAGGAGTAAGTAAGAGTCAGACAGAAAGAAGCAGTGAGGCTCTGACATAGGCAGGGATAGTCGCGTTATATGTTATCACTTTTTATGTTGCTTATCTTTCTCTGCTTACAACATTTTCTAACAATCTACGGGCAGCTCTACCATTTCTTTAATGCAAAATAAAGATGTACGTTCAGATCTGTGCATATAGCATAACATTGGTTTCCTCAAGGGAGGCTGAAGATGATTTTTGTCTGAGTGCAATTCAGTGTATTCTTACATGTAAATACAGTTTATCTTCATGATGGATTGACATGGTCAGTTTTATGAGGGTCCTTCAATGTTTGAAAAAACAAAGCTCCTGGTACTGAATACTTTTCAGAAATCTTTAAAAGAAGTTAACAGGAACGGCCATACTGATTATAAGATTGGTCTGGCATTTATATAAGATGCAATTATGACCAAAAACTAACTTTTTTTTACCACTCCATATACATAAGGTAGCCTTTTCTTGAACCCGATGATTTCTGCTGAATGTCAGATTTAACTGTGTTTAACACATACAACAATGGAACGCAGGGCTAGACTAAACTGACAACACTTTCAAAAATGTTACTCAATGATATTCTGGTAAGTCCAATGATTTATGATGCCCAGGACACTGACACACAACAAGATTTTCTATTTTTATACAGTGAGCATGTGCTCTAATTTGTATAATGTACTAATCCTGTCAAAATAAAGATGTGTTTGTATAATACCACACCCGTGGTTTTGTGTGAGTTATTTAGCAGTAAATTCAATTATTTCTGAGATTAACAGCGGACCACAGTGTAGCACTTATAATTTGGCATCATCTTATATATCACACACAGAGTGGCTCTATGTACTTTACTTTTTTATTATTCTCTTTTACACTTATAATCACATTAATATTTGGTAAAGTTGTCTATATTGCCTCATGCATATACAAAAATTATTGAATATATTCCTTACTATGACAAAGAACCAGTTTTCTACGGCCACCTTTTTCAAATGTTTCCACTAAATAGCTTCTCTATGATGATTCTTAACTGTATGGGGCAGACTTTCCCAACCTTGGGGTTGCATGGATTTCAAATGGGGTCGCCTGATTGATAAAAAGCACAGTATATTGTATATGGTCAACGCAGACTAATGTGGGCCATAGCCAATGCCAAAACAAAGAACTTGCAGAGCTTCTGTCTGTCATAGAAATGTCATCCCTGCCTTTCTTCCTCTGCCCACAATAATATACACATAAAAGCCTTAATGTGGTCTTAGAAAATGTTCACTTGCAACACAATAGAAAAGCTATTACCATTAAACAAATTAATTTTCACCAAAAAGCTGTATGTGTTTTGTTTGTCTGGGGTCGACAGAGTCTTGTCAAGTCAAAGTGAGGTCACGAGAAAAAACGTTTTTGAACCAGTAAGGTGATTCTGAGTTCATATCTTGGTCATAATATAGCAAATTAGAGATGTATTTTTATAATGCGCCAAATGTGACTATTTGAAATTAGCTTTGGTTAATATAACAATGGGCAGATTTTCTGACAGGAAACTTATGATATGGGCCTTAAATACCAACTTAAGGTCGACATATGCTATTTATGAAGTTAGGCATGCTTTCCGAACACTCAACACTTTCCCAATAAATGTCTACTTAACAACACTTTCATATTAAGACCATATAGGACAGACACTACAAAGTGAGCAGCTGAATAACATTCATCTAAAGAAATGTCATTAAATCCTTAACACCTCGGGACTTTTTCTTTGTCTTAATCTAGAGCAGGGTTGGGCAACTGGGGGCCCGGGGGCCACATGCGGCCCCCATCAACCTTCAACGTGGCTCTCGGGTCAATTTTTTACATATCAATTAATTGGAAACATGAAGAAAAACATGACAAAATCTGCCATGAAATCATGAAAAGCAGAAATATGTGCATAATAATATTTGATCACCGGTAATATGTTGAGTTAAATTTGAGACATTATTGACTGTAATTGTTTTTGTGTTCTACAACTTAGCCCCCTGGCAGTGAGAATTAAATGAATGTGGTCCTTGCTGTGACCAAAGTCGCCCATCCCTGATCTAGAGCTACTGTATCAGATTGCATTTCAGGTAGGTGGCCAGGTTTCTTCAGGTTTCCCGCTAATTTACCTGACTGACTTTTTAACCTTTAGAAAATGACGACACTCCAAAAAAAACGTATTCCCAATGGTTTTGTGGTGACTACAAATGTCACCGCACATATTTAATGTATTTTATTTGGTTTACAACATCAGCTTACCTCTTCATCATCAAGATTTATTATATGAAATCATATTTACACATTCCCAGGTGGTTAAACAGGGGGACAGGTGTGGTATTCATGTGGGGTTCCAGCACATTCAGGTATGGCAGGAAATGAAAAGGTGGACAGGTTGACAAAGGAAGCTGTAAATAAAGAGAGGATTGATATTAACATCAAATGATCTAAGTCAGAGGGGAAACGAGTCACGTGGAGTCAAATTAAACAGGAATGGCAACAATATTGGAACAATCAGATGAAAGGGAAGACATTTATACTCAATTCAGAGGGAAATAGATAAATACAGAGGGAGCAACAGAAGAGAGGAGGTCGAAATGTCCAGGTTAAGAATTGGCCACAGTAATTCAAATACTGCATACTGTCCATTTACTACTCTGTTTAAGCACATTTACATTTAATCTTTCATATTTAATTTACAACCATTTACAACTCTGTTTTTGCACATTTACATCTTTCATCTTCCACATCTAATCTTCCTATTTAAGACTAGTAATGCTTAGTTAAATCCTGGTTGTATATATTCACATTCTTAATTTTGATATTTTTAGTGCTTATTTACTTTGTAGTTAACATTATATTGTGTTTAGATTTTCTAACATTGTGTTTTTTACTCATATTGTGTGTTTGGATAACCTGCTGCTGTAAACGCCACAATTTCCCAGTTTGGGATCAATAAAGTGATTATATTCTATTCTATATGCAAACTAGCAGAATGAACATGTAGTTATTAAATGTAGAAAGTATGTAGCACACATGATGTCAGAAATGGAGAGAGAGGGGCTCGTGAGAAGAGTATTCTGGAGAGAGGGGAGAGAGGGAGAGGCCGAAGATGCTTGTTTAAATATCTCTTGAGAACAGGTTTTGTTGAGGAGGATTTAGGAGTGTGAGTAATAATTAAATCCAGCAGATGGCAGTAATGCAACTTTTTTTTTTTTTTTGGGATGCCAGCTGCCAATAAAATCCCCAAAAAGAAGAAGAAGCTCACCTCTTCGTCACGTTGTGTCGTTCAACAGCAAGGGGGCGCTGTGCCAGCTGTCAGATTGTTTTGAACCCAAACGTAGCCAGCCGCGGTGCATCACGGGATACAACATGGCTCCTGAGAGAGCAAGCTAATGCTAACATATAAGAGATAGCTGTGAGTAAATACATATGGTAGGCCCCTTTTCGGCGCATGTTGGGGTCAGTGTATTCATGTGATAGATAAATTGCCCTCTGCTGTCACCATGGTGAGTACAGAACCTGTTGTTCTTGATGCGTTTGTCGATGAGCTGGTGGTTTAAAGCCCATGTTAGCTTTTAGCCCCGGTGACGTTAAGCACCAGAGGCAGCAGCTCCGGTTGTTTTCACAACAAGTTTCTTGGTGCAGCCGGGATTGTGTTTACGAGGCAACTTGTTTCAAAAGTTGTGCGGGGATCTATCGTGTGTGATTTTTGTCTTTTGTTTTTTTTCTTTTGTCGTGATGCATGGATCAGATTTCTGCTGTCACATCCGGGTCTCTGTCACATTTTGGTTTTTTTTGTCTTTTAGTCATCGAGAGCGGAGTCCAGAGTGTCCAGCTCCAGCTCCAGAACAGATGAAACAAGACGATCAAGAAGCAGAGGCAAGCCTGCAGACACATGCAGCTCACACACACACACACACACACACACACACACACCTGACACCTGACAAAATGTACACACACACACAGCTGTGGTGGCCAGTCAGTTGTTTGCATGGTCGTTTAGAGTATACTGTTTCTGCAAATGCAAGACTGATGTGTTTGGTGTTTCACTTTTGTTTCCTTGCGATGAAGCCAGGAAATAATCGTTTTATCATTTTTCTCTCCTGGAATTCACTTAATCTCTGATATTTACCTTTTGTGCGCTTTCTTGACGAGGAAACACTTTAAAGTCTTGTTCCAGGGTTAACGTTGCCGTTTTAACAGACCTTTCTGAATCAGTCAGTCAATCAATCAGTCAATTTTTATTTGTATAGCGTCTATTCATAACAAGTGTTATCTCGAGACACTTTACAAAAGAGCAGGTAAAAAAACCTGACTCTTCATCTTTAAACTTTACAAAAGAGCAGGTAAAAACACCTCACTCTTCGTCTTTAAACTTTACAAAAGAGCAGGTAAAAACACCTCACTCTTCGTCTTTAAACGTTACAAAAAGCAGATAAAAACACCTCACTCTTCGTCTTTTAACGTTACAAAAAGCAGATAAAAACACCTTACTCTTCATCTTTAAACTTTACAAAAGAGCAGGTAAAAATACCTCACTCTTCATCTTTAAACTTTACAAAAGAGCAGGTAAAAACACCTCACTCTTCGTCTTTAAACTTTACAAAAAGCAGGTAAAAACACCTCACTCTTCATCTTTAAACTTTACAAAAGAGCAGGTAAAAACACCTCACTCTTTGTCTTTAAACTTTACAAAAGAGCAGGTAAAAACACCTCACTCTTTGTCTTTAAACTTTACAAAAGAGCAGGTAAAAACACCTCACTCTTCGTCTTTAAACTTTACAAAAGAGCAGGTAAAAACACCTCACTCTTCATCTTTAAACTTTACAAAAAGCAGATAAAAACACCTCACTCTTCGTCTTTAAACTTTACAAAAGAGCAGGTAAAAACACCTCACTCTTCGTCTTTAAACTTTACAAAAAGCAGGTAAAAATACCTTACTTATTGCTATATTACAAACACCCGACCTATCCATCATGAGAACTTGACAATGCAGCTTACGTTTAACGTCCAGGGGAAGCAGAATAATTGTGATTTCCCATGCAGATGTTTGCATTTTTCCAGTCGTGTCGTAGTGAATCTTGATGTTGGTTTAGCAAAAGGAGAGATAAGTAGACAGTAATGAAAGTTGTAAAGAGTTTTTTGTTTCAATAAAATGCCACCTTCTGTGATTTTTACGAAAGATGGGTGCATTTGTTATGTCTTGTGTTTATTCAGGCAGAGAAAAAAGGAAGCAGAAACGCAGCCGTAGCAGATCTTCTTCATCGTCCTCTTCCAGTTCTTCGTCTTCATCTTCTTTGTCATCATCGTCATCCTCATCGTCCTCTTCTTCAGGTTCATCGCATTCATCCAGCTGCAGTCGGAGTAGCTCCAGCAGTAGTGGTGAGTGTTTCTTCAAAGTCTTTCATAAATCTGAGTATCTCAAGATGGTAAACTTTATTACTGTTTCATTTTTCACAGATTTCTCTCAGAGCTGAATTACAATAAGTTCATACTTTAGAGTGATTTGTTTTTTGGATTATATCTTAACGTATTGCTGCTGTTATGGTGCTTATTATAAGTTGACCTAGTTAATTGTTGTTGTTGTTGTTTTTAGGCTCCCGCAGTAAAGTCAGAAAGCAGTCTAAGAAAAGGAAAAAGGAGAAACATCAGAAAAAGGTAATGTTTTGCGTTTAGGTCATGCATTTAAAATTTGACTGAAATATTGTAAATGCAACTCACTGAAAGTCCAACTTAATATTTGTGTCACGGAGCAGAAAGGAAAGAAAGAGAAGCGACATAAACGTAAGAAAGACAAAAAAGCGAAAGGAGAGGATAATGCAGGACCTGTTCAAATCTCCAAGGTAACAACAGCCCATGAATTCCCATTTAACATTTTGTCCTTAACCAACCATATTGTATGCATTTGGCATTATTGTATAAAGTTTTTATTTGTTGATGTCGATTGAAAGGTTTTGCCAACGTTCATATGTTAACTTCATATCTCCTCCACTACAATAGTTTCTTGTGTGGTAGACAGCAGCAGAAACCTCTAGATGCTAGCTTTTCTTTAATTACACATTGTTCCACAAACATGGCACTCAGAAGAAGTGGCTTTGTATTTAATACTGTCAGTCAATTTTTATTATTTATTCATGGCCCTTTTAACTTAAGTTTGTTTTTCCTTCCTTTAGTACCTGAAGGAAAGAAAAAAAGGCAAGTACAGCATGATATCAGGGAAGAAAATTAAGATGAAAGTGAAGAAGTCCAAGAAAGACAAACAGGTACTGTCATCTTTTTTTGCTGCCATAGAAGCAAACCAAGCGCGCCTTCATATCTTTTGAATTTGATTATTTTATCCTGGCTCACTTGTGCCCTTCTTGGTGTTACAGCGGGATAAAAATCGTGCAGAACTCCTTGATTTCTTGAACTCTACCCTGTGATGCCACTGTGTTGTGGTGCTCGGGCTCGAACACGTCAGCAGAACTCAGGAAACAACAACTCAGACATCCGTGAGAAACAAAACTGAAGGGTTCTCCGAGCAAGAGATGAGGGATACGACTTGCATCGAGACACCAGGGCAGCACGGAGCTGGATGGAGCGATTGAGCTGTGAATCTTGCTCCGATGTGAGATGCATTCATGATTTTTCATCTGCTCAGGTGGCCAAATCTTCAGCCTGCTCGTGTCATCCAAACATTTATTTGTGCTGGACTAAATCAGTTCATGGTGAAAACTGTAATGTGGCAGCATCAGTCAAATTACTCGACATTTGTCAATTGTAAACCAACTGTGATCTGCTTTGAATGCAAACAGCTGTCTTTAACAAACTTCACCAGGTCTTTAAATGGGATCTGTACTTCGACATATTTACCAGATTTAAAAAAAAAACAAAAAAACTATCCAGTCCTGCCTTTGAGTTTACACCTTTAAATTTAAAGAATTCTTGATATCTCATTGGATTGTGTCGCCCGGAGGACTAACAGTGGTCAGAGCAGAATGGTGATCTCGCCCCTAGGATCCCAGGATGTTTTAGGGTATTGCATACACCACACGACACAGCTAGTCTACCTCCAGATGTGGTTATGCAGAACTGATCCAAACTTTAAGCGTTCACACCCTGCATTAACATGCATTTTCCTTATCTTATTAATATGTGCCGATACGGATCACATTTAATACCAGGTGTAAATGGGCTCTAAGACTCCAGTGGGTTATGAACCCAAAAAAAAAACACCTGAGCCTCAAGCAAAGAGAAGAAACGATAAGCAGAAATCTGGTGAGCTCACTTCTTTTTAACTCTACACCCCCTTAATTTTCAAAATTTGTAGACTTCAATTCCTACTTACATTAAAGTAGAAGCCTTTCAGACAACTGAATAGATTGTGTGAAGGCTTTATTCAACTTTTCCTCCACATTAGCAGTCCTCTCAAAAACCTCTGGCCTTTTTTTTCTCTCTCCTGCTTCCTCAATAATTCTCATCAACTTCGCTTTATTTAGCACGGCTTGTACATTTATTTTTGTAGATACTAGAACGTCGTGTTTCCACTGTACTCGATTGCTATGGGAACCACAGGGTTTTCAGTGAGTACTGATATGATTTTTTATTTGAACCTTTTGTTAGTAATAAGAATAGTCTCATATTGGAACAATAAAGGAAGGTGCTGTTCAAAACATTTATTCCCCTTAAATTCAGTCAGGACGTTTTTTTTTCAGTCTGAAAATATAAAATACAATCAATGTTAGTACCCATGTATATATCCAGTTGAAAGTTGTTGTTTTTTTTGTATGGATGGTGGAGTAAACCTGTTGTGTGCTGTTGAACTTTTTCTTTGTGACAGACAGAAAATAGGCAGCAATAAACTGCTGGAAAGATTTGACCTTACTTCTGAAATGTTTCACTCAAAAGAAAAAAAAAAACATTTGGTGATTATTTCTTCAAGTTTCTCTTCCACTCCCTTCTCGCAAATGAAGAAAAAGGAAAGCTCTCAGTTGCCTGACCTTGGATGATGAATTCTTGTGCTGACTCATTGTGTGTAAGAATACTTAGTAGTCTGTATAGAGACATCATGATTCGCCCACTGGAATGATGTCAGTGACCTTCATCTATCAATCATCTCAGGACTGCCTTAACCATTTTTTAACAAAATCTTCAATTCATTTAGTTATTTTCTTGTAATATTACATCATTAATTTGAAATATTCCTATAAAATGTAGGATTTAAGAAGTATATGAATAACACAAACATGCCTACAAGGCTGAGCTAAATAGCCCTCATTTCTTAGATGTCAGTGTCTACAATAAAAGATGCATCATTGCAAGAGGTTAAAATCTCATAACAAGTAGGAGCATATTCAAAAAGTGTAGTCATGTCACAGTAAAACTGAGAAGAACACCTGACATTGCCCTTTCTGGTGCAAAGTTAAAACAGTGAATGGATCAAATGCTGCCTGGTCTCATACTGAAAAGGAAGGAGAGAATGAAATTCATCCTGCCTCGCCTGGTGCAAGGTGGTCACTCTGCAACAGACAGTCCTGGAGGTCAGCGACTGTCCCACTGAAACGTCCCAAACACCATCACTGTGTAGCGGACGCTGCATGTCAGACGACCTTACTGCTGCTCGCTCCTTTGTATCTGAAGTCCGGCATGCTCCACACCCTCTCCTCCCGCTCCATCCCTCTCTCCACGTCCTCTGACACGGTTTTTAGGTCGCTCAGCCCCGCTCCATCGGACACGGCGGTGGTCAGGCCCACTGTGCTGCCGAACGGGTTGATCTTAATTCGGGACCTGAAGTTCATGAGGGACATGCTCATGGCACGTTTGTTGTTCCACTGGCGGGCGAGCCGCTGCGCCTCCTGCTCCTCCTTCAGGTTGTCCAGAGACTCCAGGAGGACGGATCGAAACAGGCCGCACACATCCTGTACCTCCGGCTCATTGGCCTGCATAACTTCTCTGAACCTGAGCAAGACAAAAACATAAAAAAATAATAATAATAATAATAGCAGATTAAATTTCACAGGTTGTGAGTTAAAGTTCTGATCTGTTATAGCCTCGGGCCTACAGGTGTTACACTGTCAAGAGCAGGATGGACATTAAAGGAGGAACAAAATCTTGTCTTCTCACTGGAGAAATTACTCTTCCTTGTAAAAACAAGTACCTACACTACCCACCCTGATAGTGCAGTCAAAGACCTCGTTCTTTTTCAACGCTAGCAGTGGTATAGGCATTATAATCAATGTACTTTTTGTTAGCCACACAGATACCAGGACCAATACATCAGACAGGTAAGCTCACTTCTTTTTATTAATTCCCTTTTTCTTTTCTCTTCATTTTAACTTCAACATCTTACATTCAACTTTAATTATATAGCCTAAACTGAAGAAGACACAAATGACATCACTATCTCTTTTAGTTTCCCTGATGACCTGTGAACACATTGGTGTATAATTTCAGGGAAGTTTCTTTAATGAGAAATCTAAAAGTATATATATATATATTATTTATTTTTTTAATCTCAAGTGGATAATACATTGTTTGGCCATAGGCACAACTGAAAGACAACTGGTTTTGAACAGTTCCTGTGCCAAGACATTTGCTGTTTTTGCTGTCGAAAAACAATGCTAATTTGTTTGTACCTGTCAGTCATTGCGGCTGTTGCTAAGCTAGCACAGCTAATCAAATTAACTGCTTCTAGCACACACTGCTAATGCCACCATACAGAGCCATATTGAAATGAGCAAACACAAATGGGGATACAAGCTGGCGGGAGCAGTGTTGCGACCTAATTCAGTGAGGCAAATGCTGCTGAGGAGGAGGGCACCTTTGCCTACCGCCTTATGTGACAAGTGTGCAGGTCATCGATCTGTGGATTAATATATGTGGGTTTATGGTAACATATGGTAATCAAAATATGGCACCATTTAACTCGATGCATTAAAAATGATGATAATCATAAGGAATGAGCAAGAAAACAGTGAAACACAACTATGTTAAAGCATTGATATCGCTGTGTATTTGAATGTAAGAATATCTATAGTATTTTTATACAATTTCTTACAGTTTTCTATTCAGTATGTGTACTCATGCAGGTAACCCAAGAACAGCATCAGTACTGTGGCCAGAGTTTTTGATTACTGGTTTTTATTCTGGCTTTTGAGTAAAATAACAGCCACATTAAATCCAATATTATGAAGGGCAGCCTGGATCACAGTTATCAGTCCCACCCGCTGTGTGACCAGCACCCTCCTGCTACCACGCCAATTACTCCCCCTCATCCTCCTGTTACAAGAGGAGCTGTGGCCTTAACAAGCCTTTAAATAGACCTCCAAGGAGCCTTCTCTTTCCAGTAAGAGCTCCCAGTTAACTGATGATTGGTCCACTTTCTGTGTGGACAGATGAAACACATATTAACTCCAAATAGACGGATGTTTGGATCACCTTCAGGGCCAGAATCATTATTATTATTAACCTGTATCTACCTTAACCGATTACATTTAACCGTTGCTGCCTTTGTTATCAGTCAACTCCATTTGTTCAGAAGAGAACGCCAGGTTTTCAGTTCCTATGTTAGTGTTTACACTTTTTCTAAAGGCTCAGTTATTCATATTTCAACATCAAACACAATTACGTAAAGGAAATCAAACATTTTCCTCAAAAGACATCACCTTTATTTTATTTTCATTTTGTAATGGAATTAGGAAAAGTCATCCGGTTTTGCATACTGGATTATTTTACAAAATCACAGTATACTTCTTGTTCCTATGCAGAAATGTTACATATATAGTTTACCTACACCAACCAATATTCACCATTACTAATGTCTCTGTTAAATGCACAAACATAGATTTCATCATTAGTTGCAAATTAAAGCTGAGGAGTTGTAGTTGGTCATGAAATGGACTCATATTAATACTTTTCCCATTTTGTGACCTAAAAGTGCAAACAAGACAAGACCAGATTATATGAGACAGAACAGAATAAGCTAATATTGAAGACACATGTATTTAAATCATAGAAAGTATACACTGTATTGTCAGCAGATTGTGCGGTGGTGTATACGATTTGGTATCTTAACTTCAAACATCCATCCATCCATCCATTATCTATACCGCTTATATATGTGGAACAGCACAGAGCTGACAAACCCTCGTTGCAGCTAAAGCAACAACAAAAAAACGCATTTCAAACCATACTATCCAAGTCTTTTAATCTGTGTACTCTTAGTTTGTTTACTTGATTTCATCTCATTTTAATTGATATTTTATGTGGACTGAAAATAGACCTGCAATCTTTTCGTGAAAGAATGAAAATCTAAAGAACAGGCAGCATTTAAGGAAACCCAACTGTACCTCTTCCAGGAGAAAGCATCCTTCATACACTTCACAACAACTCTGAGGACTCCTCCTCTGCTGCTAATTACAATAACACACACATTCTCAAGTTGGTCCCTGTTGTATGACTTCCACCAAGCATTTAGCACGTTAACACCAGTCAAACTGCTCCCCAAAAAACTGTCAACCTCTAACAAGACACCTGAGACCTCAGCAGCTGTGTGTGAACAGATGATCAAACAAGCTCAGGATTTATCTGCTTGCAGATTAACACGAGCAACACGAACGCTTTACAGAGTCCCGTGTAGCAGGCTGGAGAAGTTGGCTCCATGACGAAACATCCTCTTCTCGATGCCGAAGACGACGCTTAGTGCTGCAACACGTTGACATATCAGGGGAATTTAAAGGCATCTTGGGTCTGAGCCTAAGAGCAATTAGCCTGTCCTAAACTCGACCCCCTTTCCATTTAGTGCTCGAGTAAAAGATGAGTTAACAGAACATTTCTAAATATGCTCAAAAATGCCGTGTCCATATTAATTCTAAAAAAAAAGAAGCCTACGTACCTCAGCTTTCATCTTTTTGTCTTGTTCATCAACAGCCTGAATATATCATTCTATCACATACTGTAGTCCGAACAATTACATTTAAAGCTGGCTTTCTGGCACCCATAATCTAAACGGATTAGACACTGCAGCACCCAGCTAAAAAGAACCACTTTCACCATTTTTCTTTTTGTCAAGCTTTTCCAACAAGCGACCATAACAAGCAGAACCAGGAATCAAAATGAGCCAATTAACTAGATTTGATCTGGATCAGATTTAGCCATAATTATATTGTAAATGAAAAAAACAGTTTCCAAAATTCCATCAGAAGTTTCGGTATTTTCCTTTCAGTGACATTGGAAGTTAAATCTCCCAGGAGCTATCGTGGCTTGCAGCTCATATCTAGAAGTGGCTGATACTTATGATATTTATGATATGCAGTGATGGAAGAATTCAGGTACTGTCCTTTGTAATAATTGTCCAAAGCCCCATATTTTTTGTTCATAATGAGTGCAACTAAAGTGCCCTTTCGAATGCCATCGTTGTAGATAAACCATTAAAAATGTTCTGGTCTGGTGCGCTTCTAGTGGAGAAAATGTTTTAAACTGCCATGTAGGGTGTCCATTAAACAGAGAATACAGTGTAAGTTGACTTCATGGGTGCCCTTTAGTGGAGAAATTATTAGGCAGTGTGCTAACCTTAGATAAAGGAAACACATTGATGTATCCTCTAGTCTAAGGAACCCAAAATTAGAGAAAACGTAGCTGCCATCCAGGATGCCTATATGAAAACGACTATATACGTTTCCTTTTTGATTGCTCTTCTATGTTAGTAAAACATGAAGCAAAACCTTCTAGGGTGCCCTACGAGTGGGGGAAATGCACTGCAGAGTTGCTTTTTATCAGAGAAAACATTGTGCAGTGTACTAATGAACGCTTTGAAAATGTAGGTGGAATAAAAGTGGATTTCTAGTGGAGAAAACTTCTTCAGAGAACATATAGACTTCAAAGGCCCTTTAATAGATAAAGTCTTCTTTGTAAATATCAACCAGGGAATGGAGCTTTTGCACCATAAATACAGCGATGCACAAATACTTGGTGTGTGCTCCATTGAGTGCAGCTGGTGCCATTTTTATATCTTCTGCCCCCTACAGTGAGAAAGACTGAGTCTGTGTCTATCTATCTGAATGGCCAGTTTCTTTGTCTCCTTACTTGAGTATGACGAGCCCACAGCAGGGAGGTGGCACCTTGGAGCAGAGGTCCTCCAGGCCGAGCTTCTCCCCAGTGTTGATGCTGTAGTTCGAGCGAGGCGTGCTGGCCAGCCAGCTGTAGTCCACCCCGGTCTTTAGGCGGCGGTATTCGTTCTCCCGCTCCTTCTGCTGCCGCTCGGCCTCCTTCAGCTGCCAGTTGAACTCCAGCATCAGGGTGTCGGTGACCACGTCCGCTGGGTCTCTGCGGGGACTCCGCTGATACGGTTCATTCCAGTTGAACCAGGAGGCCATGGCGCTGTTGTTCTTCACAGCCTCCTGAGGATGACAGAAAATCAGAGGTACGCACATTGAATTATCACATGTAATATTCGTAGTTGTTCGTCCTGATAAAACGATTTCAAGGTGGAGTTTTGCGAGGTTGAGTATGACTGGAAAATAAGAGTTTTTCTCCATTTCTTTTTTCCAAAGCGTATAAGGCCAACAGAGTGGATCTGATGCTTTTGTCGAAAATGATGAATTCACGAGGAGACATTTTCAGAAGGTTAAACATCGATTGAAATCTCTGTGCTTTGCAGAGATTGAAATGTGAGAGTGATAACTCAGAACAAACAGTATAGAGTTTCGGCAAGCAGATACTTAACATCAGATTTACTGTCTATGTCAGGTTAGTGTTTTTTCAAGGCTGTGTTTCTCAAAACAATCTCAAAAATCGTTTTTTTAGTTCCATTGTTTGTGTCTGTTCATTACATGAACTGTCTTACATAATCTGCCATCATTTCAACTCCACATCCTTTGAAGTCTGTTCAGTCAGATGCTCATTGCCATATCTTTAAATATCCCCTCAGAGAGCATTCTTGAACCCCCCCTCCCCTCCCCCGACTCTTTCTTCTACAGGTGTCACGTCGGCTCCCACAGGTGCTGAATTCTATTTAATCAAATGGGGAAACCTCTGCTTTGTGTTTCTTTTGGTGATCAAAGCACACCAGTGACAAAAGAGGACATCAATGAAGGTGTTCTGTGTCATTTAATTCCAAATTATAATGTTGTAGTTTCATACGGACCCTGAGCTCCTGAGAGTACACACAGACATGACTTCAACAATAAGCGTTCACATCATGAATCATAGGTTAATTCATTTATATAAGAATCCATCGGCACTGGCAGCAATTGAAACAACATCTATGTTTAAATGTAAAGTTTCTATTTCTGAGAATTCTGGTGTTCATGACTTTTCTTACAATTCAGAGATTGTGCACTTAATAAGAGAGGGATGCTAAACGCCTGTGAGCTCCTTAAGTGTGCTCGATATCCTCTGAAACACAGTGTGAGAAGAAAAACCATTTTCAGTATTTACACATTTTGTTTGTTGTGTCACCCTTCATTAACACTGCCCTCCTTCATTAGATGTCCATTTAACCACTTGTCCTCTTCTCAAAGGTTCCTATGTTCAGGTTCTCCACCAAACCGCAGCAGCTTCAGAGGTTCTGTTTTCTTCCGAACTGTACTACACTGTATTCAGTGAGTGGGTCAGATTATCAGCATGTGCAGCAAAAAGCTTACACAACACAGCGACAGAGTGAGATTAGTATCAGCCTCGCTCTTACCTCTTGACCCAACAGTTTAATTGTGAACTAGTCCGGCCAGCCTTCAGTCTTCTTAATCTGTAACTATATGGTTGACGTGGTGAATCGCTGGATGGCGTTTCATTGAAGTTGAGTTAGTATCTTTTATTGTTCAGATTGTATTTACTTGTTAACTTGTAAGGTATTCTTCGTGAGCTGTTGTAGATCTCATTGAAAGTATTGACACTGTGTTTTGACCTGGCTATTGTGCATTTGTTGTTCAAATAAGGTGTGTACCTTAAAGGCCCATCTGGAGACAGGCTTATCAAATTAGCTTAAGCTCCATTGCTGTCATGTATGGCATTGATTTACACCTCATACACATGATCCTCTACAGCTAAACATAAATAGATAAACAGTTGCCTCATTATAGCTTCTTATTCTGAATATTCCAATATATATATTTTTTTTATTCAGCTGTTCATTTTCCCAGTTTATTTTTTGCAATCTGTATTTCTTCTTAAAAATCATCAATGTCAGCGAACACATGTCCGGCACTAGAGCCCTAGAAGATGTCTTCAGGTGTTTTGTTTTTTGTGACCAATACTCCAAACCTTTCTGAAAATCATGTACAAAAAATAGCAAATTGTCACATTTGCATTGATTTAAGATCCGGGGGCATTTTGACTTGAAAAATATGTTTTATTAAGACCTTTCTTTTGATCAAAAGAATAACTGTTGCAGCTCTAAACACAAGAGAAGTGAGCTGTGTTTCTCTCATGTTGACGAGCTTTAGCCACGTCCAAAATGTTGCTTATTTCCCCTGAAAAGGAGAATTGGTTGGTTATAAGACAAAACACATTTCCAGCTGGCTTGGACATTCTTTCTTTTCCCAAGAACATCCCTGCTGTTTGTTTTTTTCACCACCAACAGTGTTCATGTTTGGACTGCTGGCTACATTTGACAGATTGAAACGCCATGTTTGCCAATAAACAGTTTTAAAAAAGAAGCCTTTTCTCACCTCTTTTTCTTCTTTTTCTTCTTCTTCTTCTTCTTTTCCTTCCTCTGTTAAAGTTTTTTCTTGAACTCAAAAGGAACACAATCAGTGAAGGAAGAATTAGAAAAGTCCTTGGATATCACACAGCTTGATGGATGAAAACTCAAAGCTAGCTGAATAAAGAAGATAGACAAGAAGAGAAATGGACTCTATCTCAGCTCTCCCGTCCTCCTCACAGTCCCACAGTGTTATCTTCACCTCTCTCTTTCTCACTCTCTCTCACTCACTCTCTCCCTCCCTCTCCCAGGAGCCTCTCTGGCCTGCCTTTACTTGCAGCAGGAGGTTGGGGGCACCATCTCCTACAGGAGCCATTGGTCCCCCCCCCCCCCCCATGAGGTGCTTATGTAGCTTTTTACGATTTGCCGTTGCCATAGTGATGCTCCTAAGCCTATTTGTCCACAATAAGCTCCATCAGCTGAAAGGGAGCTGGAGAGCGATGAAGAGGCAGATAAAGAGGGCGCAGTGGGTTGAGCGGGGAGATGGGAACAGGGAGATAAATCAGATGGTGTTATGTTTGAGGACGAGGTTAGTGTAGCGTTGACGACAGCTTTGGCTAAATGGCGATTGGTGCAACATCTGCAAGAGGTTAGCTTCCGTGCGTGTGTGTGTAAATGAACTTCCCTCAGATAATGAGTCTCAGCGGCCCAGGGCAGTAATGCATGAATTACAGGAGGGAAGGAGCAGGAGGAAATGTGTGTTAGAGTGTAGATGATAGAGAAGCAGAGAGGTAAAGAGTCCAGATTGATTGTGCAGTTGTTGTGTAGGTGGATATCAAGGTTTGTAGCTTCATTCTGTGTGTGGGTGTGAGCAGCTAAGCTCAGACGCTTTCCCTCTGCACATGTTCTGAACAGAAGCCTTACAATCCCAGTCATAAAATCCATGAACACCACCACCATCATCCTCTTCTCTATCCTCCACAGTGTCATACCACTGAATAACATGCAGGCTGAACTTTAGACTCCATGAAGACAGAGCTGATAAACAATGGTGTCCACATAAATCCTTTCAAAAGACTGTCAAATTATGTTGTGAATAAAAAGCAACAGAAACAACACGTTTAAGTGAATTCAAGCTTGACTCAACAGAAGTCAATAATGACCCTACATAAGATTACATAATCAACCTGATCAACCTGGTTGTTTCATAATAGCATGTAAAATGTGTATTTACTCGACTTGTATAATAAAGCACCTTCCATATTAGAATGCAGCCCAAAGTGGTTCACTTGTGTACAATAAAAAAAAACACAAATTGCCCACAATAAATGTGGTTTTGTAAGATAAAAAAATCTCAATATAACTTCAAAATGTTTGGAATCAATAAATAGAAATGAATTAAGGTAAGAAATGTATACTATATGTACTACTATAAATTTAAAGGGTAAAAAGAAAGATCTTTAATTTCCACTTACAGATACTGTAAGATCTCAGAGCACCTTTAGTTTTGGTTCAGGAGGTAACGATCCAACACATTAGACTTCTCTTCAATCACTGAACAGTTATCTTGAAGGTTGGAATCAGATAGGATCAAAAGAACCAGAAACTCATTTTTTTGTCCTTCACCATAAATGATCTTGTCATCTCAGGAGATCTGCCTGAAGATAAAAACATTCATTACAGATATCCAGAGAAAAAGCTTCGTTATTTCAGAATACTACTGTAATACTATTTCACAATGTGTAGTTGTTATCCAGATGTTACTAATGAGGTTAATTTTCTTTCAAGAGTCCCTGTAAACCATGTTAGTTGATTTTGAATGAAATATGCACAGTACCAGGACTCTGACACTAAATTGGAATTTAGCCACAACTGTTTTATTGTCACTATTATTATGATGTCAAAATGCCTACTGTGGAAAAAGGTCTTTTAAAACTCACACTTTAATCGTAAGTTGTACACTTGCTATATAGTAAGCTACTTAAAAAATGTGTGATCAAAATGTAATTTGATTTCCCAAGAGTTTCAGAGTAGAGAAACAAAACACTTTACAAAAATTCAGATATAAAAAGCGCAAAAGACAACCTCCAGGTGAAAATAAGCACCAACTGGACCCCCTGGTTACCATGACATATATTAACATTCGGGGGGGTTTATCATGTTGCAAGTCCTCTGACATGCAACAAAAAATAATAATGATAATACATCCTGACACACATTCACATATAATAATGTGCATAGACAATTACACAAGCAATTGTGGGTTACATAGTAATGTTTAAAAACACTGAGAATATAAATACATGTACAGCAAATGTTGGTTAGAATAACATCAGTGTCACTGTTCCTGCTCCGTCCCATCAATCTGAATAAATAACCCCACATGGAGGGTGAGAGTGAACTGTGTAAACTCAGTGGGTTCACCTCATGTTGAAGGCGACAGATGGAAGGTAAGCTCGTCCTGTAATCTAAACAGATGACTGGGCTAATCCCCTAAAGTGATTCTCTCCATCAGCTCCTGTGATGATGCTCATCAAGAGAGCGGACGCAGGGCTCCGACCGTGCCGCACTGATGTTTCATGGCGTATGACAAGAGCTTTTAGACATCTAATGTGTTTGTTGTTCCACATCTCAGAGCTGTGACGCAGGGCGACACACGACGGGGTCAAAGTGGGTGTTTGCGTCTACGTTTGGGTGAGGCTGCACCAATGAGGGGACAATGAAGTGTCTTCAGTCTGTTATCATCCACTTTACATGACCCTGAAATATATAAATATGACAACATGAACATGGTTGAATGAACTGAACTGAAATGAACTTCTACTAAAACTATCAGCTTGTTAGCCTAGCTTAGCATTAAAACGTGAAGCTGTGGGAAATGGTCCACCAAACTTGGACAGATTTTCTGTTTGGCATCAATTTAAGAAATTAATCACAGAGGTGCTGGTGGATGAATTTTGTTTTTTTTCAGGAAAAGGCTAAGCTAGGTGTTTACCCCCTTTTCCAGTCTTTATGCTAATGCTAAGCTACGTTGCTGGCTGTCGCTATTTATACAGAGTTAAGAGAGGTAGTGTTTTCAAAGATGAACAGATTTATTTATTGATATAGATAGACAGAATAGCGTTGATATATCTACACTGTAATGTTTCAAAGTTCTTTTAACACACATGCACAGAGGCTGAGCCTGATAACCTGGTAATCTTCAGGATGTAATCAGGACATGTCACACATGACAGTGAGTCAGTGTGACTCAAGGATAAAACAGATGGGACACACCAGCCTGAATAACATTTGCCTAATGCTGGTGTGAACAACTGTCTGCATCATGCTCATGTAATGTGGCCAATCAGGACAAACACACACACACACACACACACACTATCTCTCTCTTACACACAAACAAATACATAAGCGTAGGCGATCTAGAAGTCAGGGTCATGTCTTCAAGTACATCCCACATGGAGTCAGATCACAGGTTGATTGATACTAAAGAACCTCAATCAGAAGTAATTTCTTAAAATGGTTGTAAAAATAAATGAGTTCCTTGAATACTTAAATGAATAACAGTTCTATTGTAAATGTAATGAAACAAATCACTTCTCACCACTGGACATCAACACTTGACTTTAAGTGATCAACACTTTGAAAGAATAAATTCTCCACAAACTGAATGAAGGAAAAACAGAACAAGAATTCATTGAATTTAAGTTTCTCAGTGTCGAGACCCTTCAAAACCCAATTTTAAACATTGTATAAGAAGGACGGCAGCCTTACACCAAAGAGAAACATGTTTTCATTCATGAGCTTATAATGAAGCAAATGTTACATATCATTTGGCTGACTTGAAGTGTTTAAAAATTATTTTTCTGCACATTTTTGAAACTGTGAAATTGCCTTTCGCGCAATTTAAAAAATAATAATAATTTGCCTTCTCGCCGCCTCAGTGTCTGTATGAAATGCTTAGAATAAAGAAATTAAAAAACATGGACCTGTGCTGTGGACTTAGATTTTGGTGTTTGTTGGTTTGTTTGACTCCTCACCTATAAAGCAGAGCTGAGCTTGTTCCATATCTCCTGACCCACCACTAGAGGGTGTGATTTGACTACTTTAGCTACTCAGTTGATCCAAATCAGCGTCATCATTTCTCTATCTCTGCAGCAACAACTGTTTGTTGGGATAATAAGCAACACGGATGGAGTTAGTCCTGTTATATAGTTTTTGGGTGGAGAGACTTTTTTGTTTTAAGAAGTAATACTTTACATTCTTGGGATGAAAAACCTGAGGAGTTTGATCAAACAAACAACGCTGCCACCACACCTCCAAGACAAATATTAATCCACACACAGGAGCACATTCCTATCTGAATAAAACAACAGAAAAAAGGGAGGGAAGGGGACATCAGAAGAATACCTGACGGTGTGTTTAGAAGTCAAACATCTGCAGTAAAGTGCGCAGTGAATTAGGAATAGGCTACATTTGACCCTACATAAACTTTAAGAGCTTGTTGTGCAGCACATTAAAAGACAATCATTCCTTCTTTTTCAGCCCTCCAATGAAGAAAAACAAGCAGGGAGGTGCTGTGGACGGACACAGACTGTGCTGAATGTGAGCTTTGTTTGATTGTTTGTTCCTCATTGAGCCCCACATACACATCTGTCAGGCTTTGTGCACTCCACACTGAAGTGAAGTGAATAACAGTCACAAGATGAGCCCTGCACACAACACTGTGCTGATCTTTAAAAGGGCTAGTCCACTAAAACAGAACATGTCTGAAAGTGTTACTCACATTTAACTCAGTGTTTCATTTAAAGTGTTTACGGTTGATGTCAATGCTCTAAACGTGTCACGGTTCGGTGTGTAAAACAAGGAGAGGTGGACTCAAGTGCAGAACAAACTAAAAGTATTTAATAATCAAACAAAACAAACAAAACTTAATAACAAAATTGAAGGCGCCGCTAGCAAGCACTAGAAAATTGACAACTAACATCTGACGTAACGACATACAACATGAACAATGAACTGACCCAGAGGGGAAGAAACACAGAGACTAAATGGACGTAGGGTAATCAGACACAGGTGAGGCTAACAAGACACAGGTGAGGACAATCGGGGCAATCACACTGGGAAACACACAGAGGCAGGAATACAAGAAACACTGAGGACAACTACAAACTAAATCATGAAACACTCAAGACACACAGAACTCAAGAATCTAACAAAACACACTAGAACACAGGGATACACGAGGATAATAAATGACAAAATGAAACAGAAAACACTGAAAACAAAACTTGGAAACACACAAGGGAAAAACCAGCAACACTAGGGAACAT